ATATATATATATATATATATATATATATATATATACACAAGTGTGAGATTCTTTACAATGAGAACAGTTTATGTGTAAAAGTGTAAAATCAGTGGCTTCTTATTCGCAGTACATTTGGAGTATTTGTGATACATTTCAAAATGTCTGCATGTGGAAGTTGTTTGGATGCATCTGTAACTTTGTTTGGCAGTTTGACCTCGCCGACAGAGTTGGAGAGCGCTTGAACAATCTTCTCATGCGCTGTGGCCACCACGCTCTGCCCGTTGATCTCTATAATCCTGTGACCCACGCGGACCCCCCCTCGCTCAGCGATGCCTCCTCGCATCAGGCTGCATATCTGCACGGTGGAACATGAAGACACACGTCAGGTGATGGGCAACAACAGCAACATGGAAACTGACAGTAGATGGTGGTTCTTGTTAAAAGCACCGCCTCACTGGGCTGCAACTGTCCGCGACTCGTTAGTGAACGACAAGAGAGTCCTCAGCATATCTCCACACTCTTGGTGGGGTTCACAGTGTTCTCTCAACATAGTTACAGAGTAAAAAGAAACAGAGTACTAACTGCTTTAGTGAATATCAACTGAATCAAGTCTTAATGGCGACCTGCAGTCCAGCGAGCTCATACTTACAATCCCATTCTGGACACTGAAGCCCAGCTGATACTTCAGGTCTGGTCTCTTGATGAGGACGGTGGTAACAGGAGGGCAGCTGACGATGTTCATTTTCACCATCACCTGATTCTTTAAGCCCTTGAACAGACAAACAAACATTTCTGCTTGTTTTTCAAAGGAACAGTTTCGGTGATGTGCTTGGAAGGCTCGGCCACAGTCAGCGTCTCTGTACCTTAATGATTCCCTGACAGGTGGCGAGGGGCAGCCCCACGAGGCTGGTGTTGTTGATGGACATGATCTGGTCTCCGATGCTGAGCTTTCCAGAGCGAGCCGCCGGGCCACCGTTCATCATGTTGGCTAAGATGACCGTGGGCAGGATGGAGCCCCAGCCGGACTCCACAATCACCACACCCAGGATCTCCCCTTTACTCTTCTCCAGCTGCAGCTGTGGACAGACCGTCGGCTGCTGCTTTTAATCTAAAACTGCGCTGAAGCTAATTTAACATCACATCATTCAGCTGCAAGTTGTGAACATATGTTCAGAACGCAGTGTCACGTACAACTTTAAAGAAAGACAAATTATTTCATGAGGGCAGAGCCAACATCACGAGGCTTCATTTATCAGCAAACAGAGATTTACAACAGTGTTTATGTTATAGAGGATTATTTCCTCTGGTTGGAGGCAACGTTGCTCATCAATGAGTGGCACAGCGTCTCCGCAGCTCAGGATTCATAGAAATGCTGCGTTATTCTGATGGTGGACACTAATCTCTGGATTAGTTTACATTTCACTGGACACTGATCCATGAGGATTTATTCATAAATGGATTCTGTCTTGAGTCTCTTCTTCTTTAAGCAAAACTTCAATTAACAATAAAAAAGACATTAGAAACTGGACTGCACATCAAATTTAAAGTTAATAAATAAAATGAAAAGATTTCTGGAAAGGACATTTGGCAACAACTTCAAAGAAATGAAAGAGCTTCTAGCAAAAGGTCATCTTGGAGAAAAGTTGAAATACTTCAGTTTTCAGAATAAAGATGTTATTAAAGGAAGTTGTGAGGAACACAGGCCAGGCACAGACAAAAAGCCCTGCGCTGCGTTATCTACTCGCTTTTATACCATTATCAGTTCAGCCGAGTTCACAGAGTTCATGGGGAGGGGGTCCTTGAAGCCAGCTGCAGCCTCCTCACCCAGTGCTCTCACCAAACATATGGTTCATGGGCAGAGATTAGAGCTGAAGGTCTGGACAGATGGTTTCGTTTTGGGCTTCTTGTTCTCAGCCGTATGAATAAAAACATCCACAACCTTTGACCCAAAATTCTCTGACAATAAAAGAAGTAGATTTCTGTTTTATCTCTTTCTTTCACAAGTTTTAATCTGTATACATTTCCTGTTTTATCTCTGTGGACGGTCAGAGTTCTGACTCTCGGAGAGGGATTTTCTTCAAGGTCGTGAAGCTCTGCTGCCTCCAGATATCCTGCTTTAGTCTTCGTTCCAAAATCCTCCCGTGTCTCCAGTTTGAGCGCGATGATGCCAGGCGGTCTCTGCAAACCTCCAGTAATGTTTCAGGGACAGGATGAACATAAAGGGTAGATTTATTTATTTATTATTTTATTATTCTGCTGGTTAATTTGGATTATTTGTGTTTATTATATATTGTTTATTGATTTTCCGTTTCTTCGTTCGTCACATTCGTTAACAGCCACAGTAAGTGTGTGTTCCTCGCTCTGCCCTGCAGCCTGACTGGGACTTGTGTTAGAGTTGACTAAAGATTTTGTCTTTATCTCCTGCAGCGACACAAAGAAACCGCTGCAGACAACAAGAAAACAACGGATTCACTTATTACAGACCAACCTCCTTGCAGTTTTCAGAGTTGGAGAAGTGAACGAGGTCATCGTTGTACATTTCCTGCGTGTTGATGATGTCACTGTACTCCTTCTGGCTCAGGTCCTCAGGGTTAATCCCATTGGCTCTCAGGAACTCCTGGTAGGCCACGCTGAATGCCTGACCGATGGACTGGGCGATGAGCTGAGCCTGAACACACAAAAGTAAAACAGTTGTTTCATTTTCTGGTTGTTGTTTGAATGCTGACAAGAATTTGAAATGAAATGAAATAGATCAGCAGCAACATGAAACAGATCAGCAGCAGCATGATGTGATTTTTCACAGTGATGATTCTGGTTAGAGATTCATGAGTCTAACAGCCTCAGGGTAGAAGCTGTTCCTCAGTCTAGTGGTTCTGCACTTAATGCTCCTCAACCTCCTTCCTGAGGGGGGCGGGGCAAAAAGTGTGTGTGCTGGGTGAGTGTGGTCCTTCTTCAGCCCTCTTCCTCGTCGACAGTCATGTCAAACTGGTTTGATCAAACTGGTTTGACAGGACTGTCGACGAGGAAGAGGGTCGGCACCGGAGGAGGGGGCGTGCCAAAGACACCATCTTAGCACCAACATAACTGGTTTGTTCCACTTTGGAGTAAGATGTTGGGGGAAGAATCAGTTTTGCTGTGTATTTCCTTGACTGATGAAGCCTTCTGGATGGAAGGTGAAACGTTTCAGCACAAAAAAAGAAACTGTCCAGATGACCTGACTGAAAAATGCTGGATTGTATACCTGGATTATTGAGCACGGACTTTGTATTAATCTGTAAAATAATTTATTTTTTTTGTTTGTTTTCACTCAGGGAGAATGTTTTTCCAATTCCTATTTGTAGTTGACAAAAATGAAATGCAAAGTCTAATTTATGCACAAGGAATTGAATATTGTACAATAAAAGAAACACCTTTTGTTGGCGTTTTATAAAGAATAGTAGTAGCAACAAGAAAATATAAATTAATTTATGAGTCAGTTTTTCTTAAGAAGAAAGTTCAAGTTGACGTTACTATTGTGATGTTTTATGCGCTCACAAATAATTTATTAATTTAAAGAATTGAATTTAATATACTAGATTTAGAAACATATTTGTCCCAAAGTGATGCAACGAAAACTGGTCCTTGCATTTTTCACTTCCAGTTGAATTTCTTTATTATTTGATGAAAACGTCTTTAGAGGATCCAAAATGCTGCTGCAAGAGTTCTGACAAGAGTTAGATCATATTTTAGCAGCTTCAGAATAGAACTTAAAATCTGACTTCTAACAAATAAAACTTTGTTTTCTTCCATATTTTCCATATTCTTCTCTCTTTGACTGCAGGTTTAGTTATTTGCTGAAAAGGCATCGTTAATGCAAAAGAGCTGAACAGAAAATCCTGTCAATTAAGAAAAAGGGCATCATTTATCTCTATTAAGGAAGCTCTTATGTCTTATTTTTAAGTTTTTAAAACAAACATGTTTGAGTATTTACGATCTTTACAATCCCAAACTCCCACAGCGAATTAGTTCTGCTCAACAAAAAGTCCAAACCAGGAACCGTAGCCGTCGCCAGTGAAGCCAGAACAACAGAAACGGTTTATAAGCTGATGGATGAGCCGCTGAATAGTTCCATTAAAACTCTGGCTGGCCTTTAAAAGCTGGCAGAGGAACGAGCTGCAGAGGGAGTCCAGCCTTTCTGCCGAGCTGCTGGCTCCTCGGCGCAACATTGTTCCTGCTGCCAAGTCTGACAGGAACGCCTTCAACGAGACGTGACGCTTCACGGGGGAAATAAATAAATCAGGGAAATCCAAAGTGCCTGGCCAGTCGGTGCCGACCAGCTGGAATCAGATGTGCGGAGAAGAAACGGGACGTTCCCTAACAGATACGTTCAGAAGAGGGACGTAAAGCGAGGTCTCACTGATCTAAACTGATCCAATGTTTCGTCAGCGAGTACAAGAAGTTTTAAACTCTCAAGTGCGTTCGGTTGCTATGGTGACCAAATCAATTAATCACATTTATCTCAGTATCAATAAAAGTGACTGGGTTAGACATTTGTGTGTTGGTGAATCGTTGGTCAGCTGTGGGGCCGTCCGTCTCCACGTGGACCGACTCCACGAGCTGATCAGCTGAAGGCGTGCATCATATCCATTAATTCATTGCTAAAAGTGTGACTGATATCTGTCCACTAGCTCAGGAGATATTTTGCTAACAAACAGAGTTGACTTCAACATTTATTGCTAATGTTTTAAACAAAGACCTTGCACAATGAGTAACACTTGGTGTTTTGTGTTGGTCAAGGACTTTTAGCTACAACAGCAACAAAGAACAGCACAACATTTGTACATTTTTGTTTCCTACGGTCAGTTCTCTGTGGCAGCCATCTTGGATTAGGCGGCTCCAAAAGTTAAGCCGTCGTACAGATCCAGTAATTATCTCCTAAACATTCATGAAGCCTTTTGCATTAGTCCACGATATACTCTTGTAACAGACAGGTTGACTCCAAATCATTAATTCACACATTTTGAAGGACGATCTTGTACGATCTGTTGAGACTCAGGATTCATGTTGAGGATCAGTCTCAGCTACTACCACTATAAACTTTAGGTCAACATCTGGGAAACTGACTGAGGTGTAGACATGTTTCTGTTGTTAAAGCTCAGCTGCCAGGGGCAGCCAACTTGAAATTGAATGAGATGTTTTCTAATGATTACTTCCTTCAAACTTCATTTAAACTCATCCAATGATTCTCGAGACCTTTCAGGAACAGACGCATGAACACAGACACGAAGCATCAGTGCCAGTCGGCTGTGAGTGAGAAGAACATACATCCTCGGACTCGAACACGTGACAGATCATCTTGTACTGCTTCTTGGCTTCAGGTGCACCAGGTGTGGTTTCGATACAGTCCTGTGAGGCCGTTCGAGGCATCCGCCTCCTCGCCATCAGGACCACGATGTTCCCAATGTCGGCGATGTAGGAGATGGTGCGCAACGCGTTGTCCATCATTGTTTCCTGTTGGCATAGCAACCAAAATGCTGTCAGTTTCCAGCACAGGCTCAGCTGTGAGCATGCCCTTGTAAAGTCTGAGCTCATATTTATTTTCACACCAGAGCGGTTGTTTCTGTAATAAATATGAATCTAAACTATTAGGACAGACAAAAACTAAAGATAACATTAGAGCTCAGTGATGATAACACAGATGTGAAACACATACCCTGTTACTCACAGCATAACTTCTTACAAGTATAAAAGAACAATATTAAGACAACGAACCAGCCACAGCATTATAATATCTTTATTTTTCATTTTAGAACAGAGAGTTCTGAAGGCTCACACAGACTTGAGCTCATCAGATGGTAAGTGGATCGTGCTCGTCTGTCGAGAACGATCAGGAGCAGAAACAAACCAAAACCACGTCGTGTTTCTCTGAACAACGTGTGAACCCTGTTCCTTCACTCCGCCTAAGAACTCGTGTAACAACGCAGCGTCCACTAAGCTTTAATATGAACCAAACGACCGTTTAAAACAGATGCTGACTCTAAGGAAACATCTGGGTTTGAAAAAACAAATGTGAATTTGTTCATGTTTAATAAAAATAAGCAGAAATTTCTTCCAGTTTTGTTCAACTCATTAACTTTGATTTATTACGTGGAACTAATTAACGCTGTTTCAGCCGACACTTGGATCTAAATCATGCAGGCTGCATAAAACCTATAACTGCAGAACTTGTTTTTAATCTTTGATTTGACTCTGGACTGGTTTTGCAGAAGTGCAAGGACCAGTGGCAGCCAGATGGAAAAAGAGAGGAAGACAGGCACCGCATTGCAGCACGTTATTCTCTGCCATCCGGCTGCCCACACTCCAAATCTCACTCTGACACTCAGAGAGCCGCGCTGCAGACACGAGAGGAGGACTGCAAATGATTCACCGAGCGCACGTACGTGCATTCTGTTCTGCTGCGAGCACAACGCTCGTGTTGTGATGCAAAGAGCTGCAGAGAGGCTTCGTCACACGCCCGAGTCATGTTCAGCTGTTACCAGGAAAAGAAGAACAAATCACTGCAAGAGTTCTTTTCAAGAGCAAAAAGACTTCTTTTAATAAAAGAAAACTTAAAAATTTAAACAAAAAGTACCAAGGTCTGCGTGTTCAGGGGCCACAGTTACTGAGAGCAGCAGCTCAGGGGCCACAGTTACTGAGAGCAGCAGCTCAGGGGCCACAGTTACTGAGAGCAGCAGCTCAGGGGCCACAGTTACTGAGAGC